CCACCCTTCCTCCACCGGCATCGGCCCTATGGTTTACTTTTTCCTGTAATGGATAAATTGTTTCTTCAATTCTTTTTATTATATTAAATAATATTTTATTAATATCAAGATATACTGTAACGACCTAGATCCACCCCCAACTCACGTCAGACATCACAATCCACCTCTTTGGGCTCAGCGTCCTTATTAGCACACCGCCTCGTGTCTACCCCTTCGAGAAACAACGATAAGGCTAGCACATCGTCCAGTATCTGGCTCTGATACCATTTGTAACGATCCAAATCCACCGCTAGTAGATACTGTCCTCTTTAAATTTTTCCTTTCGAGTTTCCCCTCAAGGCTTTAAAATACATTCTACACCCTGTGATTTGTTCTCCCTCACAACTAAGGTGGACATACTTCAATAATAATTAATATAAATTCATTTTATTACCAAAAATAATAATAATAAATATTGTATTTAAATTTTTAAAAGGAATTGTGCTTGTGAATGTACGTTGTTTATTATAAATATTTAATTTTCTAATCTATTCTTAAAATAAGTTTTAAAAAACAATTAAAAATATATTTATTTAAATCAGTCTTCATTATAAATTAATTTATTTAATTAGTCCTTTGAATTAGAAGACTTTAAATTCGGTACTTCAAATTAAGACATTCACCAAAATGAGAAAACAAAAGTGATTTTATTCACTTTTTCGTGATTGATATTTATATTATTAATTCTTTAAATCTGTTGATTTTATTCCTTTTTATTGTTTATGTAGACGGAAAATAGGAAACGATGATAATAAAAGACAGTAAGTAATTACTATATACAAAATTATAGCAAATTATCTACCATTTTCATCATTAAAAGTCAATTAAGGATGAAAAATTCGGTGGAATTCTAATTATTTCAACTTTTTTTATATATATATTTTAAAACAAAAGTCAACTCCAAAAAATATATTTTACTTAAATTTTTAATTATATTTCATAAATAAAAAAAAAATTAACTACATAATAAATCACAATGGTGTATCAACGTTCATTCACCTAAAACAACAATTTGAAAAAATATATACAAAATAATAATAATAAATAAATAAATATGTGTGTGGAATTCAAATGACTCACTTTTTTTGTAACGAGATTTATCTCGACCAATCACACTATGATTTATTCGAGGTTCGATTTTATATTATTAACAAAAAGTTATTGGAAATTCATTCACCCACGGGAGTTTTAATGCGTGTATATACATATAACCAATTAGATGGAAGAAAAACATTTTTGTCAGTGATCTTTTTTTATATTATTAAATATAAATACTAACAATATACCTGTTTTGTGCTTCACTTTAACTGTCTGTCGGGTTTGTTTTTTTGTTAGACTCGTCATTCATTCGGTTAGGTAAAACCTTACCATAAGAAGATAAAAGAAGTTCTAGATATTATTACGAGAGATAACAGTACGTTTTGACACTTTGTCTCCAATATCTATAATATTTTATAATTTCAAATTTATTTATTTATCAATATAAACACAGTTCTAATATTTTCTCTTTCTATTTAATATAGGAAATTCAATTTCTCATATGATAAGACTAGCGATCGAGTAAGATCGAGAGAGAGACCTAAATTAAGAGGAAATGCAAGATAAAGAAAAAAAATTTGAGAAAAAAAAAAAAGAAAAAATACAGACCATAGACGACCACAAGGGAATGAGAATTTTTTTGCTGTTGTTTGTTTTATTTTTATTTGTTTTAATTCAACAATATGGATGGAGAGATTCGAACAACTGACTTATTAGTATACATAGTTAAGCTACATTTGTGTTGGTGGCTCGAGAAGTGTGAGATCCCACATTAGTTTGAGAGGAGAACAAAACATTTATTATAAGGATGCAAAAACATCTCCTTAACGGATATGTTTTAAATCTTTGAGGAGAAGCCTTTAAAGAAAAGTCGGAAGATGACGATATCTGCCAGTGGTGAGCTTGAGCTGTTAGGACAATGTGTCAGTGAAAATACTAAACGTTAACTCAAGGGGGGATGGATTGTGAGATCTCACGTCGGTTGGAGAGAAGGCTAGGCACTAAATTTTAAAATGGGATGGACTATGAGATTCCACGTCGGGTGGAAATGATTATATATTGTTATAACCATCACGACTGAGGGTAGCTATAACCAAAATTAAGCATTAGGACTCGACTATATTTGTATAGTCGTGCTTGATATAGCCAACTCCGTGTGAATTATAAAGAAAATGTTAGGCGTGTGGGCTTTTATTTTTACTATTATTATCTTATTTTTTTAATCATTAATTAGAATATAAAATTATAAACACAAATAGAATCTTTTGTTAGATGAATGGTCGCTGTATAGCACAAAATATGAACGTAGTGCAATTATAGAAGTTGACGAGGCATCAAAAAATGAATAAGCACTAAAAGAAATGCCGATTTAATAATTAATTTATATTATATCCATACATTTTAGTATCCATTACGGTAGTTGACAAGGCAATTCTTGCTTTTAAGTGAGGCTAGTTACGTAAAAGAGCTATGTTGAGAAGGGTAGTTACGTAAAAGACACTAAATATATGGGCCCGAGAATGAGCCCAAATAAAAAATTGGACCAAGCTGTATTGGTTGTTTTATTAAGCCCACCGGACCCAGAGGGGTACGCACCGTTCAGAGCGCGGCAAAGGTCGGCTCGACGCCTATCTTCGTCGCTTTTGATTTGAAACGGCTTTCCGCGGACTTAAAAAATGAATATTAAAAAATAAATAATTAAATGCTATAGTTCCGAGACATAAGCTAAAACACAGCTTTTAATAATTTATTCCCATTTAGTCCCTAGCATTTTACTGGATTTTAAAATTTAGTTATTTTTATTTAGTATAATTGATACATGTCTGAAGAGAAAAAAAAACGGTCATAAATAAATTAAACTTTTTATTATGATAAATTAAGAGATTTTTTACTTTACTAATTAAAAAAAATATCGTGAGTTTATATGTAAATAATACTATCTCTATTGTTATAGACTTTTTTGGAAAAATCAAAAGTAAAGTCATGAAGGCTTATGCTTAAAGTAGACAATATTATATCATTGTGGAGAGTCGTTGGGTATGTCAAGTGAATAGGGACTCAGTGTCGAACAAATTGTGTATTTTGTTTGAGAACTTCAGAGAAGGAGTCGAGTCTTGATTAAGGAGAGGCAGTTCGAGGGCTCCATAGGACTTAGGGGAGGTTTTATGGTGTACTTTATTTGATTTGAGGATTGTTAGGAGGAGAAAAAGTTGAGCATCGATTATGGGGAGGTCGCTCGAGGGCTCCATAGTTCTAAGAGATGTTTTATGGTGTACTTTGTTCGAGTTGAGAATTGTTGGGAGGAGAAAAAGTTAGAGCATCAATTATGGGGAGGGAGGTCGTTCAAGGACTCCACAGTCCTCAAATATGCTCTATGGTGTACTTTCTTCAAGGGGAGGATTGTTGGGATGTTGGAGCGTTTCATAGATCTCTGGGGAGGCTATATGGTATACTTTGTTCGAGTTGAGGTCATTCGAGGGCTCTATAGTCCTCAAAGATGCTTTATGGTGTACTTTGTTCGAGAGGAGGATTGTTGGGTTGTTTGAAGGCTCCGTAGGTTTCAAGAGAGACTCTATAGTATACTTTGTTCGAATTGAGTATTATTGGGAGGAGAAGGAGTCGAGCCTCGAAATTATTACACCAAATTTAAATTTTATAAGAATTTTAGACTAAATAAATAGAAATTAAAAAGTAAATACCTCACAAACACTTCCATGCATAAATTTATTTCATAATTTGTTTGCATTTACGTAAAGCTCCATTATAAGCCGAAAATCTTCGACGGACCAAGACTCCCAAAAATAAAATTGCAATAAATAAATAGAGAGAGATTGACACGACGCGCATTAAATAGAAACTCGCGAGAGAGCTACACAAACGGACGCGTTCTATATTTCAAGGCAATCATAGCGTGCAGGGTGGCCGCATCACCTGCGTGTCATTATTAGCGTACGGATATATTTTCCTTGCAACTTCCCATGAAACTTGGCAGAATTTGATTGGCTGTCACCTCATTCGCAAGTTCCAATCAAATTAGATCGGTGATATTATCATTTCATTATCGAATCTTCCATAATAAATACATTCACACGCAAAAGCTACAATAATTTATAAATGCCAAATGACTTAACTGACCTTAAGCCGTGTTTCAAAATGCATGCTAAAAGCCATAAAAAATATTTTAAAAAATAAAAGGGAGAGAGTCAAAATAATACGTGTTAGTTAATGTGAAAAGCACCTCTTATTTTATTTTACATTTATTTTATTTTTAAATAATAATTTAGGAAAATTCAAGTGATAATTACGTTGATTTAAATTAGTAATTTAATTATTTCATGCTTGCACAATTGTGTGGAAGTTGGAAAATAATTTATTTATATATTTATTAATTTTTAATTCGTAGAGGTAAGAAATTGAATCTCTAACTAAAAAGGCTCAAGTTGGCTTGTTAATGTTATATTATAATGGTAATTAATTAATTTTTATTTATAAATGCAATATATACATATATATATATATATCGTTTTTTTTAAGAAAATAAAAACTAACTAATTTCTTGCTGTTTTTAGAGTGTTATATAAAGAAAGAGCAATCACTGTTCTAATGCGCGAGTTACGTAGGTTAATTACTACGGTATACACGAGGACACTAGATACTTTCCCTCCTAACTCGCAATAGGGAGGGTAATTTAGTCATTTCACCTTTACCTTCTTAATTTTCGGTTTTTATTCTTTTGATTCTAATCTCTACACATTCCATGGCCGTACAGTCTGGTAAAATTCAATCACAGCCCTTCAATTCTAAAAGGTGAACATGTGCCGTAGGATAGAAAAAGAAATCGAACGGCCTAAATTAAGCTACTAGAAGCTTCTAATTCTTTTAGTGTTGCTCTTAAATAACAGCTCCCTCCTTCAGCCTCTTAATTTTGCGCTGTTTCGTGCCATTTTTGTAAAAGAATTCTCTCCGTTCCATTTAGCGCTTTCAAGGTTTTCATTGACGTCGACTTGGATTTTCTTTCTATATTTCTGTTCCTCAGATCTGTTTTTGTTCATTTCATGATTCTTTTCACTTTTGCTCGAATTGATTTTTTAGTTTGTAGGATCTCGGCTATGGCGAAGAACTATCCGCCTATCACCCAGCAATACGAGGCGGCTGTCCTGAAGGCGAGGAGGAAGATTAGAGCTCTTGTTGCTGAAAAGCATTGTTCTCCACTAATGCTTCGTCTCGCGTTGGTTCTCTTTCCGCGATAATGATTGATTATGAATCTTTGATTATTAATTGTGATGATTCACTGTGGCTTTGTGATTGTAGATGGCACTCCGCCGGAACGTTTGACGTTAAGACTAAGACGGGAGGTCCCTTCGGCACGATGAATCACGCAGCGGAACTCGCTCATGGCGCTAACAAGGGCCTTGACATCGCTGTTAAGCTGTTGGAGCCGATTAAGGAACAGGTGCCGATCCTTTCGTACGGTGACTTCTACCAGGTACGGCACTATCGTTGCGATCATTATTTTCGCACATTTCATAAATGACGATTGTGAAAATTTGTAATCGACGTATTGAAATCGAGAGATAATGAATGGCTTATCGTTTGCGTGTTCTTAATAATTTTTATTTTGTTGTACGGTAGATCGCCGGGGTTGTTGCTGTTGAAGTTACCGGCGGACCCGAGATTCCCTTCCATGCTGGCAGAGTGGTAGGTTAAGCCTTATAGCATGCCCGAATTATTTCGATCTCCATCGTTTTCGAAACGAATTCTATTTCCACATTTGCTTTGCTTCCATTTCGCTAATGCCTGCTGTATGCTGCTCTTTGACGTACGGATGGAAATTTATTGCCAGCGGATTCATGATTCTGCTACCATTAGTTTGATCGTGTTCCTGTTGTATTTAGTGTTTCAAGCTCTTTTGTGATGATTCGCTATGCCATTTTTAATACTACTTGTCAGTTAATTGTTTGCTTGCGTACTTATCTCCCATCGATTTCGCATAATCTGAACGATCGTCGAGAAATTCACTATTTACATTCTCAGTGAACAAACCATAAAATGTTTTCCCCATGACACAACGATTCAGTTAATCATTCTATGAACTGATTAGCTTGAACGACAACTTTGCATTGATTTCTTGATGTAAATTCTGAGCAGAAAGTCTACGTAACATTTTTTTTTCATTTGGTCCATTGCCTGCTGATTTTGAGGAGAGAATCACTGCTAATATTTTCTTCCCGTACAGTCTTTGACTCTTTGGCTACAGTTGTTTGTTATATTTGATTTGCTTGTATAATTTGATTTTTTCCGCCACAACTTAATTCTTGTAGCACCATTATTGAATTCTGATTGTTTCCTCGGCATTTTCCGACATCAGGACAAGCCTGAGCCTCCGCCCGAAGGCCGCCTCCCCGATGCCGTAAAAGGTGAATACATTAGAAATATTTAAGATCAATTTTCTCTAGATCTAGACAGTAATGATCAACGATTTAGTGATAAGTTTAGTGAACAAAATTTGATTATAAATAATATTTAGTTAGTCTATAAACTTCGAGACACTTTTAATTTTACTTCTTAGTAGTTTTAAAAGTAAAAAAAATCAGATTAAATTAGTGTCCTGATCATCTATACGAGTGGTAATTCGAAGTTTAATTAATGAACTATTATGTTTGTGTCTATTTGTATTGATAACACAACATTGTCGCAGGGACTAGCATCTAAATCTTCCATTATTTTCTAGGATGTGATCATTTAAGGGAGGTTTTCTACGCAATGGGTCTCAGTGACAAGGATATCGTTGCTTTGTCTGGTGCTCACACTCTGGTTTGTTTCATCTCTTCGCTTGCATCTTCCAATCATTCTCAGTCCTTTTATCGAAATCTTCCATCTGGGTTTTGACTATTTCTTAATTTCTAAAGGGAAAAGCTCACAAAGATCGATCTGGATTTGAAGGACCATGGACAACCAATCATCTCGTCTTCGACAACTCTTACTTCAAGTGAGTCTTGCTCCGTAATACAAATCATTCTGAGTGAAAATAGATAAGATTCTGAATATATTAGGTAATCTGTTCTTGAACATTTGAAGGGAGCTTTTATCTGGAGAGAAGGAAGGGCTTCTTCAACTGCCATCTGATAAGGCGCTTCTCACCGATTCTGTGTTCCGTCCCCTTGTTGAGAAATACGCTGCGGTATACACTTGTTCTAGTTTCTTGCCAGTAAAATAATGGAAAGATATCAATGCCGTTTTTATTTGAACCCGTTCGCAGGATGAAGATGCGTTCTTTGCTGATTATGCCGAAGCTCATCTGAAGCTCTCAGAGTTGGGGTGAGTTCTTCTAACCAAAGTTTAGTAATGAAATATCCTTTGTGATGTTAAAAGTTGGCGAATGACATCGTTGTTGCAGATTTGCCGATGCTTAAATGACTCAGAAGTTCAAACGCCGACGCTCGTCGTATGCTTCATAAAACTGGTTTTAGTTTCGTATAAATCGTTGGTTTTTGTTATAAGGATGTTTGTGTGTGTGGCTTTACACTCATCACGCGCTTCGACGGTGTTATAATGAAAGCTATATACACATTACATTCCTCGTGAGAAATAATATTTTTCACTATGAATTCCAAAATGCTAATTAATTTCATATGAACTAACAAACTTAGATCAAGTAAATTACTAATCAAGTATTTATCTAACCCTTTTTTTTTTTTTTTTTTTTTTTTTTTTTTTTTTTTTTTTTTTTTTTTT